TCTGTCAAACTTTTTGGAAGGAGACTGTTCATCTTTCTCTTGCCACTAGAACTCACAAATAGAACATAGTCAGGTATTGGGCAGCCTAGACAGATCATTTGGACTTTGGTGACGAAGGTGGCTCGGAGAAGGAAATATCAAGTTTTGCAAAAGTGTACTTTAGTTGTGAAAACCTGATCTCAAAGAATAACGGACTCTGAATAGTCCAAGAAAAAGGAACAGGTCATTGATAACATCCAATGCAGAGGCCAAGTCATGACTAGTCAGCATGGGCCTGGGCCATGGAACAGAGACGAAGTCAAAACAACGTCAGGCTAGAGACTAAGGTGCACCTGATCCAGGCGATAGTCTTTGCAATTACGTGCTATGCATCAGAGAGTTGGACAGTGAATAGGGATGATAGAAAGAGCATTGATGCCTTTGAGCTGTGGTGCTGGAGAAGAGTGCTGAATATACCATGGACTGCTAGGAGAACAAGCAGGTTTGTCCTGGAGAGAGTGAAGCCAGAATGCCCCTTGGAGTCAAGGATTCTGAAGCTTCGTCTGACATAATTTGGGCATGTTGCAAGGAGGGACTGGTCCTTGGAGAGGGACATCATGTTTGGGAGAGTGGAGGGACAGCGAAGGAGAGGAAAACCCTCGATGAGATGAATCAATTCTGTGACTGAAGTGATGGGAATAAGGGTGTTTGAGATGATGAGGTTGGCACAGGATAGAACGGCGTTTGGGGTTCTTGTGCATGGGGTCACTATGAGTCACAAGCGACTCGATGGCACATAACAAATACCACCACCACACAACTAATCCCTGCCTAACTGTCCACTGCTGGCTGAAGTGCAGGGAGCTCTGGTGGCATAGTCCATAGGGAAGGCAGCTGCTAATCCTCAAACAGTGCCCGTCTGGCAGTTCAAATCCACCACTGGCTCCGAAGGACAGAGATGAACAGTGTCCTCTAGATTCACAGCCTCAGAAAAAACAAAACCAAAACCTGATGGATGGTCCTCTGTGAGAGAGTTCTGACTTGACAGCAATGACTTTTTTTTTTCTTTTCAATTTTGAAAGCATTTACTGTGTGAACAGATTCGTTTTAAAGCTCATTACTAACAGACTGTGTGTGTGTGTGTGCTTTTCCCCCACTAGTTTATTTACAAAACTCAAATACAAATTCTAACAAATTCTTTCAATTTCCCTCATCCCTCCACCCATCAAATTATACAACTCAATGATTAATCCCTCCCACCCCCACACATCCACATCCCTCTGAATTCAGCCTCTCCCACCCCTCCTGGATTCTTATATTCATTCTACAATAATGGTTTTATACAATACTTATCCTTTGGGACTGAGTTAGTCCACTCAGCATAATGCTCTCCAGTCCCTCCCAAGTTAGGTAATAATTTACAAAGTTATTGCTCCTGCATGCTGTATAGTATTCCATTGTGTGAATATACCACAATTTCTCAATCCATTCATTTGTGGTTGGATATCTGGGCTGTTTCCATGTTCTTGCGATGGTGAATAATGCTGCTATGAACATTGGTGTACAAATCTGTCTGTGCTCAGTTCTCATATTCTCAGGGTATATTCCAAGTAGTGGAATACCTGGGTCATATGGAATTTCTATGTTAATGTTCAGCTTTTTGAGGAAACAGCCAAATTGCCTTCCAGAATGGTTGCACCATTTTACAATCCCACCAACAATATGAGTTCTTTTCTCACCACATTCTCTCCAACATCTATTACTTTTTGAGAATCAAAGCACACTTCTCTACATGAGCAAACTACTTACTTCAGCATAGCCACTTTGTAATCCAAACATTGCACGTTAACTTTTCGAGTCTCCAGTTTTTATATCCTGACTTAATACACAGAAATGTGCATAATAATCCGCCAGATGCTCTGCTGGAGAAGGAGGGGCAATCTCCTCCTGTACCTGTCAGATCCGATTTGACGCTACACACACAAATAATAATAAAAAAATGTGCATAATAAATGTTTTTTGTGTGTGTATGTACCAGAGCACACCAGTAGCTTTGGCAATTTATGGCAACTTTATGTGTTTCAGGGAATTTTTAGAAGTTTTTCTGAGATTGTTTGACTGTATTTGAACCATTTGTACTACCCAGGGATTCTGTATATATGTATATGTTGGTGTATACACATACACACACTGTTGTTTTGGGGTGCCTTGAAGTTGATTATGATTCATAAAAACAGCAGATATGAATCTTGCCTTGTCTTGGGTCAGTTTCACTATCCTTTATATACTCAAGCCCACTGAGGGGGTCCATCTTGTTGGGGGTCTTCCTCTTTCTCTGACCCTCCACATATATACATGTGTGTATATATATCTACTTGAATTTGTACAGATACATTATTTGCATAATACCTAAGACAAGTTTTATAATCAGTATATCTTTACTCTCCACCCTTCACATTTATTCACTTTAAAAACAAAACAAAACATGCTGGCTACGACTGAGCAGATTTAATTCTGAAATCCATTAATAGATTGACTGAGTAGTTTTGAAAAATCATAGCCCTACCTGAGAAAGTGAAGATTTAGATTTTTCTAGAGATGCAGGCTGCCCAGTGTTGTGCTGTTAGCCAAGCCTCAGGTGGTTAGAATATAGCAGCTGCTCTGCAGAAAGATGGGCAGCTTCCTTCTATTACCATTTACATATTAATGTAATATGTATAATGTAATACCTTTTATATTAAGAGCTCTGGTGAGACCTCTCCAGAGTACTGAAAGGCAACGATGTCAATGTTGGTCTGGAGACTAAGGTGCACCTGATCCATGCCACAGTCTTTGCAATTACTTGCTATGCATCAGAAAGCTGGACAATAACTAGTGATGATAGGAGAATTGATGTCTTTGAGCTGTGGTGCTGAAGAAGAGTTTTGAATATATCGTGGACAGCTAAATTTGTCCTAGAGAGGGTGAGAGACCAGGCTGCTCCTTGGAGGCTAGGATTCTGAAGCTTCGTCTGACATACTTTGGGCTTATTGCAGAAGGGACAAGTTCTTGGAGAGGGACATCATGCTTGGAAGGGTGGAGGGACAGCACAGGAGAGGAAGACCCTCAATGAGATGGATTGATTCAGTCACTGAGGTGGTGGGGGTAGCTGTGTCAGAGACAATAAGGTTGGCACAGGATAGAGCAGGGTTTAGGGCTGTTGTACATAGGGTCCCCAGGAGTCACAAGCAACTCGATGGCCTAGTGGTAAAAAGCTGTGTTGCAATCCCAAAGGTACAAGGTTGGAATCCACTAGCTGCTCCACGGAATGGATGGGTAATCTTCCCAAGTGCCATTTACTGCCTCTGAAAACCAGCGGGAGGGTCAGCTATGAGTCCACACGTGCAACATCATACCAATGGGTCAGCTATGGGTTGATTCCAACTTGATGGTACACAATAATACAGAGGATAGCTTGAACCACCTAAACAGGCTTGATAAAAGAAATGAATCAGCCATTGCATTATATTATTTTCCCCATTATATTTTAAAATCTTCTATTTGTTATTTTTAAGTATTTGTAATGTTTAAGACAATTTAACACAGTGAATTACATAATAGATCACCTTTACAATTCCATTCTAAAATGGTAACTGGAAAAAACAAGGAACTCATGCAATATTATTCAAAATGGGTGACCCTGGAGGACATTTTGCTGAAATATCTCAGTCACAAAAGGACAAATACTGTATAGTGCCACTGTTGTAGAACGGAACTGACATCAGGGTTGGGGTGAGACTGAGAAAAATTGGATAAATTATGTATACTTCATTGAAACAGATGAGGGAGCAATATATGATTGGGTATTATGGTCACGGCAAGAGTCCAGAATGAAGGCTGCATAGTGGAGTGTACTGGGGTGGGGTGGGGGGAGGTGGGAATTGTATACCAATGAAAAGAATTTTTCTTTTACTTTTCAAAGAGAGGAGTGAACTGGGGGGGAAGGGTGGGCAGGGAGAAGAATGCAACAATGAATGAATGGAAATCCAAAATCTCTGGAAACGTTCATTAAAACTAATAAAAAATTTTTAAAAAATTAGTTAAAAAAATGTTAACTGGAGGAACTAATTTAGACTATCATAAATTGACACGTGTAAAGAACTGAACCCGGATTATAGCACTATTGAGACATTGTTTCAAGATTTTAAGATTCACTATTCATGTTTTTAACCAATTGTTTGTAAAAGTAACTTAATTGCTTTAAAAGAAAGTGAAATGCACCAAATTTATAAATGCCGTTTATAAGAAATTTTTAATCCATCAGGAAATTTGCCATTTAAAGGTAACTTGCGTTAGTTTTAGAACTCTAATATTAAGGTAATTAAAAACTGTCTTCTAATACGAGTCCAAATGCAAAGACAAGGAAGAAATTTCAACTAAGTGGAGGAGGTTAAGTACTCAGCTGGTGCACGGGGGCTACCACCACGTGGGTCCGAATGAGAGCTGAGAACAAAAAACCGATCAGAAACAAGTTGCCACCTATTTTACTTTATTAACTGCCACTGTCATTAAAGATAAAAATGTAAATTTACAATATAAACATTTACGAAAAACACAAGTCCAGTTTCGTTCCAGAGGCTGCGCGAACGCAACACTGGCGCGGTTCCAGACCCAGGAAGAAAAGGCGTGTGGCCCAAAAAAAGGTGGGACAGTCGGGTCCAAGGGGAGGCGGATACTGAAAGTCCCAGGGGATTTGGAAGATTATTATTATTATTATTATTATTATTATTATTATTATTATTATTATTATTATTATTATTATATGTAAATCCTGGGTGACTTGGAGGAGGTGCCTGGGGACCGAGGTCACTGTTGGGAGTGGAATCGGCTACCATTTCCATCTGGGATATCATGGGTACTCGCGCCCCATGAGGAGTTTCTCACGTCGGATTCTACTTAACTCTGCAGCTTGCAATTTCTATAATCAGAGAAGGAAAAATCTGTTTCGAAAAGCGCCTTCCCAGCCGTTGTTTAACTGGCAGGACCTGGCGCTACCGCACGCAACCCCGGCAACGCCAGGAGCGGCGACCGGAAAAGGGAGGCTTGCGCGCGTCACCACTACTCCCCCCCCCTCCGCCACCCCCTCAGGAAGATCCGAAATGGTACCGTCCTCTGCCTATGATTGGCTAAACCGGTGAGGGCGTGGCATCCGGAGCTTGGTTCCGGGTGCCAGAGGCCGCTTACAGCATTTCGAGCTGTGCGGTGAGCGGGCGCCATGGTGAGGAGGCATTGTGGGTTGATGGCGGAACTATGGTTGTCTGTCTTTTGGGCCCAGGCTCGGCTTGTGGCTTAGACCGACCCTGAGGCCTGCCTTGCGAGCGGGGATCAGGCAAAATTGGGGGCCTTGCTGATTCTAGTGTCCTGCCTCCCTTTCTAGGTGCTGCTGCACGTCCTGTTCGAGCACGCGGTCGGCTACGCGCTGCTGGCGCTGAAGGAAGTGGAGGAGATCAGCCTGCTGCTGCCGCAGGTGAGTGGAGTCCTGGAGCTCGTGCTGCAATCGAGGGGTTGCAGCGTGCCCGCGCGTCCCCATCGCAGACCCCAGGATGCACCGCGCGCTCCCACGTGGCCGGCTGCGCGGGCCGGCGCGGGGACTGGGTTGGGACGCTTTAAAGCAACAGTCTGTAGCTTGATTCATGATCAAAATAACTTTTTAAGTCATTCACTGCATTTCCTGTACCAATTACATAAGTTTTGAGAGATGAAAGAACTCAGTGATCTTTTAAAAAGCTTTTTAGTTTACCAGCGCGCCCGCGCTGAGTATGTCACGTGCTTTAGAATCTGGACCAAAGGAAGTAAAAAACTCATGCTGCTTCCCCCAGGTTGAGGAGTGCGTGCTTAATCTGGGCAAGTTCCACAACATCGTTCGTCTAGTGGCCTTTTCTCCTTTTGCCTCATCCCAAGCTGCCTTGGAAAATGCCAACGCTGTGTCTGAAGGTTAGTTGCCCCATCCTCACGTTCCTGCTATTAATATTCAGTTTTGTGATCGTAAATAATTAAACATCCAAGTGTTTAAGGGTTTATGTTTATCGGTGGGGAGAGGCTGTTTCACAGCCTTCCTTTATAAGCCTAGGAGGCGCTACTGAGGGCAAGGTAGGATAACTGATGTGGGCTTAAAGGAACCTTACATGATAATTTTAAGGGTTCTTGCCACCATGCTACATAGTGCTGTGACTCAATCATTAAGGACCTGCCCAGACAGGTTTTCTGATTCTCTATTCAAGACCCAAGGCCAAATTTGCACGGCTCCCTAGGCCGTAATTGCTTTTAACTGCACTTCTCAGTGCACAGCCACATGGCTGCTTTACTGGCCCAAAAGAACTTGAGCCTGTGTAAGCTTACAAAGGAGTTATCGCTCTGGTGCAGAAAGCCAAATCAAAACGGCCCTTACAGGCTATGTATGCTGGAGGCTGTATGTTCTGTGTTGGTGCTGTCATATCTGAGCCCTGCTCTCCCCAGTTGAGCCAGGCTTTGCAATGATGACTTTTCTGTCAATCCCCTGAGTGCAGTCAGTGATGTCAGATGTGTCTCTGAGCAATGCCTGAAGGAGAGGTCTGGGCGCACCATCTCAAATCATCGTCACATCATGTACTGAAGAACCAGGGAGATTCCTACAATGTGTTAATAAGAGCCGTGTTCTTTACCCAAGGCGTTGTTCACGAGGATCTCCGCCTACTCTTGGAGACTAACCTTCCGTCCAAAAAGAAAAAAGTCCTTTTGGGGGTTGGAGACCCTAAGATT